TTTTCACATTTTTCAGATGATCGTTCACAAAACCATCTATCAAATTCTAAAATAAAAGTTGCCTGTCAGTGGAGAAGCTTTATAAAAGAATGTGTAGAAATCCATTATGCACAAATCAGTATGCTCCTGCCTCAGAGCTTACGTTTCAGCTGCTCTGCTTGACATAAACTAGCCGCAGCTCGTTTCTTGATGACGCTCATCATCTTCATACATGTTCAGAAGAGTTAAATGCTTTTCCCCTGGAATGCTTCTTATCTCTCTTTGCTGGATATTTACTGTGATTGCAAGAAACAAACCAATACAAAAAACACAGTGTGTGTCACATTTAGTTTTTCAGTGGCGACCAGAGCTCTTTGTTTTGATCGATGTGTCCACTTTGATTTTTCAGGTATGGCGGCTTTGCTTTTGGCATGCCTCTCCCGCCTGACTTGAAATTGGACGTTACTGAAGTGCCCCAAAACCGCACGCTGTCCAAGGTAACTCTCTTCCTTGCTGCATGTCTAATTATCTCATGAAACGCTGTACTGATGAGTTGTTAAAAGTTAATATATGGTTTCCCAGTTAAAGTCTTTTGGCTGCAAGATTAATATTTGCAGATGGAGCTGGATTGTTGCGCCATCAGTGTCATCATAAATATTCTTTACTGCAGCAATTGTGCTTTTCTTTCCTGTGTGTAAATGTTTCCAGATGGAGATGTCTGAATCTCTCTGCATCCTTTATATTTAAGATTTTTTTGATCTTAAGCTAATGTTTGATTTTACGGTTGTAGGTTTGGTACAACCCTGAGGGTCACCACACAATGCCAGCATACCTAAACAGCCTCAACAACATCATCCTGCGCTCCAATATCCCTGCTGATAAAGATCCACAAAAATATTGTAAGTTTATTATAATTAAAACACTTCAAAGAAAACTTTCAGGTAAAGGGCATCGGTACTGACATTTAATTTTAATAACAGTCAGTATTACTCTTGTGTTCTCTTATCCTTTTTTAGATATTTCATTATGTTGGAGAAGGTATATTGATATTTTTGCTGGAATTATTTGGTATTCCTTTAAGCAAAAGCATGTCTTTGATTTTTGAGATATCTGCATTAAGAAGCTGCAGCTTGCATGTTTTAGTGCCCGAAATATATAAAAAAATACAGCTTTAAACAACGTGTTTACACATGAATCATTGTGCTAGATTTAAGCCAGGGGGTGCTGCGTGTCTTTACACTAACAGCACTATGCATGCTGAATACTAATTTGCTCCATTCAGAGGGGAACTATGCTGAAGAGAAGCAAGGCTGGCCCACGTTCTCAGTTTTTGTTTCGGCTCTGAGCAGCACCCTAACCATCTGGCCCCAAGCAACAGTACACAAATGCACACATGCACAAATGTATGACATGAAAAGCTCATACAGACATACAGTGCAAGCACAGGAGAACAGACACGCATGTTAATCAACTAGTACATGCTAGAACTGCTCCAGGGTGTGCAACGTGTGCAACCATTTAAATGCTACTAGCCGTGGTGGAGGTTTACATGGGGGGCAGATCCAGAGATATTATTTTCCAAGGCGACCAGTTTATCTATCGAGGCTTTTTCTCTAACCTTTGTTTTGTGTGCTGCAGTGGCAACGGAGGGTCAGAAACCTTTAGATGTCATCGACAAATTGTTTTTTCACTCCAGTCTTGCAGTTTTTCTGAATATAACCACCCACTGTTGCAGATGCACCACCACACTCCAGTCTGTCAGTCTCTGCTGTCACAACTACAGATTTTGATCACTTCCCCTTGGAACTTTGTTTTTGTACTGGATGACTTTCTGTACTGGAGAAAAAAATATACATTTTCTAAGCAGTTTATCAACCTGCACTTAAAGGAATGAGATGAAAAGAAACCCTTTTCAAATGCTTATAGACAATCTTATTCTGATTCCAAGTCCAAATAATGATCGTAAACATGATGAAAAAGTAAAACCATACAGGTTTTAACATCTAAAGTGATTTTTTTACAGACTGTTGATCCAAATGAATATTTTAGTTACACTATATGTACACAATTACAGTACCTGATAAAAGTAGCCTTAGCTATAGTTGTATTTTAGCAAGAAATATACACACATATGCAAAATCTTCCCTCGAGATTTTTTTAATCAAGTTCAAGGTTCAAGTTTCTTTATTGTCTTTCGCATCACATGTAGTACATGAGGTGGAACAAAATTGTGTACTCAAGGTCCCAGTTACACCCAAAAATAGCAAAAATATAAATTACCAAGAAAAGAAACAGTATACAAGGATCTAAGATATTCACTACACAATTTTTTTTTTCTTTCTGCTGCTCCCTGTTAGGGGTCGCCACAGCGAACTAAGTTGCACAAAGACTTGGCGGTTATTTTTTACGCCGGATGTCCTTCCTGACACAACCACAGCCCAATGAGCTACCACAGCCCTCTGTGTGGAGCAGAGAGCTGCTATCTAGGACACTCGGAGGAACAGATGGTGGGGGTTAAAGGCCTTGCTCAAGGGCCCAGAGTGGGACGAATTAGGGTGGGGGCAGGTGTGGGTGCTTCACCGGCCTCACCCATATTTTTTTATTTTGTCGGTACCGGAACTTGAACTGGCGATCTTCCGATCACAGGCCCACCTTCTCTAACCTCTGCGCCACCACTCCCCTGGAGTTCACTACACAATAATAATGTAATATAATACAGTATATTAAACAGCAGCCTGAACATGAGTCTTTTGTGAGCAGATGATTATGAACACAACAGCTTAAAGGCAAGAAATCAGCATCATGGATAAACAACAGCACAGTTAAAGTGACATTTACCAATTAAAGTGAAATTACAGTGATTTTTCTGGTTAGGGATTCATGAGTCTAATAGCCTCAGGGTAGAAGCTGTTCCTCAGTCTAATGGTTCTAGAGTTAATGCTCCTTAATCTCCTTCCTGAGAGGAGCGGAACAAACAGTGTGTTTACTGGGTGAGTGGGGTCCTTCATGATGCAGGTGGCCCTCTTCCTGCATTTGGAGGTGTAGATGTCTGTGATGGTGGGGAGACTGACTCCAACAGACGTCTGTGCAGCCTTCACCACTCTCTGCAGAGCTTTTCTTTCTGCAGCTGTGCAGCCTCCATGCCACACGTTGATGCTGGAGCACAGGATGCTCTCCACTGCACACCTGTAGAAGGAGGTGACTGAGCTTCCCAGACCAGCTCGCCTCAGCCGTCTGAGGAAGTAGAGTCTCTGATGAGCTTTCTTGATCAGGCTGGTGGTGTTGCTGCAGCTGAGGTTGTCATTCATGTGTACACCTACATACCCAGGTGTCAATAATAAAAGCATTTGCTCAACGTTTCGACTTATATGTTCTTTAGCAAGGCACTGATCAGAGGAAATGTAAACAAACAAACAAACAAACAAAAAGGAGCAGTTTATGTCTGTGAGTGTCTAGAAGTCCATGAGAAAATAATAAAGTAAATTCAATTCTCTCTGTGCGCACTGGCAAATGAAATCATCATGCTCTATATTTTCCAATTGACTGTGTCCCAGGCTAAGAGAACATCATAGTTCATTTGGTTTCTGTGCTGAAAAATCACTTTTGTTCTGTTTATCAAATTTTTTTTTTTTGCCTTTTTTTTGCCACTGATAATATAATACCCTGTTTCTTTCTATTACAGCAATTTCAGTTTCCAGCCACCCCTATTTTGGCCGGAGGGATGATGAAGATTCAATGTAAGAACTATTCTCAATATTCTTTTGCTGATTTGCTGGCAAACATATAACAATATGAATAATAAAAGAATGGTGTGTTATCATTTTAATTGGAGTAAATATTTCTAATTTACTCAGATCACTATGAATGATGATGGGTGTTGTTTGCCTGACCTGAGATAGTTTATAGAGCCATCCTATTTTTCTGCTTCTAGCCGTTAAAGTCAGGCTGGATTTAGTGCTGTAGGATACATGACAGCAGTATTTACCCCATATTTGATTTTCTAAATGGATTTCTCTGAGCTTACTCTATTGATCTGAGTCCCAGTGTAATGAGTGTTTATCTTGAAGGTGGCACTGGGGTGGATTGATTTTCCTCAACTTCCCCATATTAGGTTATTAAAAATGCTCCACGTCTTGCTTTAGAGGCCAAAGAGTTGACGTTGCATATATGTGTGCATGTATGCAAACATGTCTGTGTTCCAACGGATCAAATCAAATCCACCTGATAGTGGATTGCAGTCATTTTGTAGCTCAGTGAAGGTTCTTGTTTTCCAGACCCATAATTGCCCTAACTGATTCATTTTTATTTATCGCCAGTTTCTCCTCATTGGCAGGTCTTTTGCTGTAGCCTCCTGCGATGCCCCTGCAGCTGCAGTTATACATTCAACCTCCTTCTCTGTGGGGTGATACTTGGCTTCCTCACTACATATATTGATTTGGCCCTTGCTCTGTTAAAAACACGGCAGATGTATTCCTTAACATGTCTTGATTCTCGCCATGCTGTAGCTCTGCCCATGGGAAACGTTTCTAACGCTATCTTGGCTGCACTGATAACAATCCTGCTCTGTAGCTGCTGCTCCTGGCTTTCTTCTGTAGTGAGTGCTGCCCTGAAACACCCACCACATGTCCCTCTCTGCTGTTCCCATTCCCCTCCCTATCGGTCACTCTGCCAGACTCGTGCTCTCCTCGGCCTCGTGCAAGATATTCAGTCTGCTTTGTGGTGTTGTCACCCTGCTGGAGGAAATTAGTGATTGTGAATCATGTCTGAAACAAGATAGAAAGGAGGATGAACCACTTTTGAACCCCATGCATTGAGAAACAATAGGTCCAAGCTACAAAAAGATTTCTGGGGTTTAATTTGGACAATGTTTCAATCTGATTTTTGTTGTTGCTGAAGCATACTCATTCTTTTCAGCAACATTATTAGTTATTGTTACTTTTGTTGGAAATCACATCAGTAGTTTGAATGAATATATTAGCAAGGGTTGCTCAACTTTTTTGTGCAAAATGTACATTTTTCTACTAGTGTTATAGTCAATACCACCTAACCCTAGACCAAGTCAAGATCAAGACCAGAGTGTACCGAGACCGACCAAGACAAGACCAAGACTTTTAGGGTCTAAGACCAAGTCGAGACCAAAACTGAGGGAAGGCGAGGCCAAGTCGAGACCTCAAGTCTTGGAGCTCAATCTTTTCACAAATTATCTGGCTTATACCATCACAAAATTGTGAGTTTTAACAAATTTGTAAAAAACATATAACTTTTATAAAAATATGTTTTTTTTTTATAAAAGTTACATACTGCAATTTTAAGTTTGCTTTTGAATTAATGTATCAGCTTGGCAAAGAGCCACATTATTGCTTAGATTTGAATCAGTAAGTTTTGCATCCAATAAAAGCAAGGATGTTAACAAATAAACTGGACAATATTCTGGCAATTTAATTATATTTCCACAGTTGTGGTCTTGACTGTCTTGAAATAAAAGCCCGAGTCCTCAATGTTCGAGAACAAGACAAGACTTAGACCAAATGTGGTCAAGTCCAAGATGAAACGGACACCATCAAAAAGTGGTCTCAAGACCGGTCTCGAGTACTACAATACTATTTTCTACATAATCCTGCCCATCCAAGTGCATTGACTCATTTGAGCTGGCTGCTGCCCCCTCAGCAGTATTACTGGAAATAAAGAGGCAAACCATAATAATACATTCCATATAAATATAGTTGAATGGTGATTATTCCAGTAAATGACACTTAATCACATCATCTGTATGATCTTTTCTTCACAGTGTTGAAGGAGTGCTCCAGATCCTCGTGGCTGTGTGTGTGCTGACAGGGTTTTCCATTACGACTGCCAGCTTCGCCATCTATGAAGTCATTGAGCACAACAGTGGGTCAAAGAGGCTCCAGCACATTGCTGGCATCAGTGAGACTTTCTACTGGACTGTGAACTTCTTCTATGACATGGTAACATCTCACTAAATTGGCTGAATGCAACTAAAACCTGCATAACCAAAAAAAAAAAAAGAGCAATATGATTGTAGGTGTTGACTTTTTAGTTTTTTAGCACAGCTGTTTATTCATAATTTGTTCCTTATTTAATTTAGTTTTAAAGCATTTACACGTTTGTCCTTTTCTTCACAGGTCATTTATTTGGTCCCAGTGACTCTGACCGTCTGTGTGATCGCTGCTTTCCAAATTCCAGCATTTACCGAGCAGCAGAATTTGGGAGCTGTCACCCTCCTTTTTGTGCTCTTTGGGTCAGTATTTTGGGCAAAAGTTGAAATCAACAGCAGTTTATTTGTTGCATTATGCATATGTTTTGTTTTTGGTGTAAAATTTTGGACCAACTTGTATATGATGACAAATCAGGCCACTGTTGAACAGAAAATTTGAATAATCAAAAAGAGAAAAAAAAAGCCAGAGCAGCTTTGAACCTAATTGTTAAAAAAGAGCATTTTCCTACAGTTTAATAGGTACATCTATCATTTTGTCAGTTGTGACTTTTTTCTAACTGACCTGTAATGCTTAAGACCATGAATGCATCTCTCAAAAATACCCAAACTGGCAGCAAAATACTGTATGAGACAAACATCGCTAGTGTGTGGACAAAATCATTGTTAAAAAACTGCTTTGACTCAAACCAAAAGTTTAAGGCTGTATTAAGCTTCTGGGGTTATTTTTGTCCTCACTGTGTTGAACAGTTTGTGAAAGGCAGAGGTCTGCAGAGTTAAATAAATTCACTTTATAACTAAAGTAAACTGCTCATGATTATAGAGTGCACGATTCACATGGTCTGTGATTTTCACCGTTTCCCAGTGAAAACAACAACAACTCCAACACTGTCAAACTTTACTTAAATTACTTAATAATATTATCATAAATCACATCTATATGATGTTTGCCCAGCGGCTAGTTTGGCTAAATTTAATTAGAAGGATTTTTTTAGACGAATTAGGTCAGACTGGGCCTTTTCATAGAGCAGCTAAATAAAGTGCAAACAGTTCCTGCCCAAGGACTTCTGATCCAACAGCGGTAGTTAACAAGAATAGGAATCAGTTGGAGGTCAGATACATATCATTTATACAAATAAACTAAAAGGATTGACGGCTCATAGATTACTGCTTCATGTTATCAACCTGCGCACCATCCTCCATATGAACAAAATATCCAAAGAGTTTTGTTGGCAAATAGTATGCAAGTCAGTAAAAAAGGACCTTGTGTTTTCCACTGAGGATACTCCAATGTTCTTACATTTACCGCAGCCTTTCCTCACATATGCTCTGGGATTTCTTGTCTCTAATGGGTGTTTATGTGTGTGCTACGAGGTTAAATTTCAGCACAGAGCATACGGAGGCTGCTGCTGTTCAAATGTAAACACAGATCTTTTTTTTTTATTATTATTCCTTCTGTAGACAGATGGCATCAGAACTGAAAGGCTGATATAAAAATCACTCTTGACATGTCTATCCCATTTGAGCCAAAGACTTTAGAGCTCTAAAACAGGGATGAGGAAGCAACAGAGCTTACAGTGTAACTGTGATAAGGGATAGCTGCCATCTCAGAAGGTTTTTAAATCAATCAGACAGCAAGATTGAG